CATGTTCCCTCTCCCCATGTTCTCTTTTTCTCTCTCTCCCATGTTCTCTCTCTCTCCATGCTCTTCCTCCCTTTCTCTCTCCCCCCATTGATTTCTCCCTCTCCCATGTTCCCCCTCTCCCCATGTTCTCCTCTTCCTCTCCATGTTCTCCCTCTCCCCCTCTCCCTCCCCCCATGTTCTCTCTCCTCCTCTCTCCTTTTTCTCTCCCATGCTCTTCTCCTCCATTGACTTCTCTCTCCCATGTTCCACTATCTCTCCCATTTCCCTCTCTTCCCATCCGCTTCTCTCCTCCCATGTTTTTCCCCTCTCCCATGTTCTCTTTTCTTTTATTTTTCTTTCTCTCTCTACCATGTTCTCTCTCAAACTATGTGTCTCTCATGTTCTCACTATTTTTTTTCTCTTCTCCATGTTCTCCTCCAATGTTCTCTCTCTCCATGTCTCTCTTCTCCCATGTTCTCTCCCCCTCACCATTTTCTCTTCTCCCATGTTCCTCTCCCCCTTTCGCTCTCCCCTTCCCACCCCCTTTCTCCCATGTTCCCTCTCTCATTCTCATCCCCCATGTCCCCCTCGCCATTTTCCCCTTTTCGCCCCATGTTCTCCTTCCTCTCCATTTCCCTCCCCCCCATGTTTCCTCTCCCCAATGTTTCCTCTCCCTTTTGTTGTTCTCTCTCCCATGTTTCTTCCTTTTCTCCTTTCCCATGTCTCTTCTCCTCCCAATGTTCTCTATCCCCCCCATGTTCCCTCTTCTCCCCCATGTTTCCTTTCCTTTTCCCATTTTTCTCTCTCTCTCCATTTTTTCCTTTCTCTCTAACATGGTCTCTTTCTACTATGTTCTCTCTCCCATGTTCTCTCCCTCACATGTTTCTCTCCCATGTTCTCTCTCTCTCCCATGTTCTCCTTCTATCCCATGTTTCTCCTCTCTCTCCCATGTTCTCTCTCTCTCTCTCTCCCATGTTCTCTCTCTCTCCCATGTTCTCTCTTCCTCCCATGTTCTCTCTCTCTCTGTCCCATGTTATCTCTCTCTCTCCCATGTTCTCTCTCTCCCATGTTTTCTCTCTCTCCCATGTTCTCTCTCTCTATTTTCTCTTTATCTCCATCTCTATCTACTTATGGCTCTCCCTGTCCAGGACAGACACACACACGGATCGGAAGAAAGCCACAGCAACGTAAACATACTCAGGCTCAGATGAGGACCATATTTATTGTCAGGTGATTAGAAGTTGTCCCTGCTGTGACTGTCTGCTATTTTAAGCCTCCATCTCTCCAATTTGTCTGCTGCACGGCACGCAACCAACTTTCTCCCACGTTTGTGCAGCGCTGACAACTGTAGCCAAGCATAGTTCTTCAGTGACTCGCTTAGTCTGACAGTGTTTAATAGCATGCAAAGGAAAGGTATGCTGCTTTCTAATGCAGCCTTGTTACCCAGCCAGGATCTTTCAGGAAAAGGGGATTGTGTCGTCTACTAGCCACCTACTGGTAATAATATAGTCTTCTTGGATAGTGTTCTCAGTGTGCATACTAAGAATAGGACCAGGGAAGAAGAGGGAACCTGGAAATGCTAGCCTATTTCTTATTGCATTATGAAATCCGTAGTATTGTTGTGGAGAATAGCATGGGGTTGTAGGCAACTGGGGTATTATAGCATTATTACAGCGGATAGAATTAGGGGACGAGGGAGCAGCTCAGGAGAATTAGGGAAAGTCTCTCCTCTGAGGTACATAACCCTGTTGCCTGGCAACGGGCGGTACTTTGCTGGCGGAGAGCGGAAGGAGCCGGCGATGTCACAGGAGATTACAATGAAAATCTATTTGCAGCTTCATAAACTCTGCAGCGTAATTACCCCCGCTAGTTGGCTTAGTCCTCCAGATGCATTAAACACGAATGCCTTGTCATCACCTTTCCATCCCACTAAAAGAGCAGCTCACATACAGGGCCACGAGGACCACTGACAACTCAATGACTCACCCTCTAGGCAGCACCTCTCTGGGTTGAGATGGTCTGAGAGAGAAGGTATCAAGAAAGACCAGATCATTGCCCTGAACTGAAGTAGCGTTGAAACAGAGAAGTGGGATCCAGGACTTTTCTCACCCAGAGGATTGGAAAGTGAGAAGTCGGCTTGGGGGTCAGGTTGCTGGCGGGCTGTGTCCATTGCAGCTAAGACCGCCCTCAAGCAAAGTTTGCGGCAGATTCTAATATGTGCTCAGCCTTAATCCCAAACCTATCTCCCCTCTTTGACCCTGCTGTGTTTGAAGCTGTGAAGCGATGGAGCCTTGCGTCCCAGTCTCCCAGACTGCATCACTCACCTCACCTGGTGGCCCAGTTCAGGTTGACAGGTAGAGAGAGACTAGAGACCCTGGCTGCCTTGGTCGGAGAAGCTCCGTAGCTCCAGGCTCCATTGTCAGAGAGATGGTACTGAAATCCCCCCCTGGCCCTGGCTCCATAACCCCTGTACCAGGTTACACTCCCTCTCAGCCCCCTTTGTCTCTGCCTGCATGCCTGGGCTCAGGCTTTACACACTAAGCTGGAGATCACAGGCAGAAACACTAAACCCTCTCTCTCTCCTTTCTCTCCTGTCAAGTGGGAAACAGTCCTTGGCTGCCTTGTCTCCCTCACCTCTCTCTGTTCCTGAGCTGGACTAAGTAGATGTTATTACATGCAAAAGGCTCTTGTTGTAATGAGGCACCTGCTCCAGATATAAATCACCATAGGGGCAGCTCTTTGTCGCCCTGCTGCTGTTGATTTTCCAATGTAACGTCAGACGTCTACTCTAGCTAACTCCTGTAGCTAACTCCTGTGAACCAGACCTGGGTTCAGATAGGATTTGTTTTCTTTCAAATACTTTAGCGGAGCTTGATTGAGCTTGCCTGGCGCAATGGAACCAATGGAATAGTACCAAAAGTTTTCAGAACCCTGACCATCTGGCTCTCCAGGCAGGCTCAATCGAACACTAAAGTATTTGAAAGAAAAAAAAAATCGTATTTGAACCCAAGTTTGCTGCGGTCCTGTGATGTAGAAGGGGGCCTTTAAAAGCTTGTGGAGCAGCGAGCTGAAGGCTGGAGCCTCTAATGTAACAGTAGGCAGGGGAGGGAACGCACAACACCTGTTTTCCATTAGCACACAGACATTCCTCCTTTATCTGCCTCCATTTTGTGTGTGCCCCAATGTAGGCTAGCTTTTAAAGCGCCAGTGAGTGAATTATTGTCTGTTCGTGCAATAGTAGCTAGGCCTGGCTACATCCTAAGAAATATAACCCCAAAGGCAAATGAGTTGTGAAACCTGATCCATTGTTTTTGTAGTGTGTACTTTGTCATTCTGTCTTTGTTTTTCCCAGATCCCAGCTACTACAGAGAGTTTGTGGTGCGGCTCGGCTGAGGGTCAAGAGCTGGTCCATGTTCTTCAGAGACTGAGTCATTCTGCCAGGTGTGTATTCCACAGACTCTCTCCAGTCTCCACTCTGATCTTTCTCTAGAACTCCAGCTTTGTCCTCAGGGCTCTGCTTTGATCCATTCATGTGGGAGGCCAAGGCAGGGTTGTGCGATGAAAGATTCCTTGAGCCCATTGCGTCTCGAACTGGGGATAGTGGCCCATTGTTGGGCTGCTAGAGGCCTCACTCCTCCCTCCCTCCACTCCTCTTTCTGAAATGGAAAAACAATCCCTTTGAAGTTGCCTAGCCAGGCTTATGAAGCAGAGCTTTGGACAATATTGGGGTTTGGGGCAAAGTGGCAGTGAAATTCCAAACTTCTCTCCCTGTGTGACTGCTGGACTACGTCACCGCCTCGCTCACCATGGCAAATGTATTTTATTTTGAGATCCTTAAAAAGGGGCAATCAGCAGTTGTTACACACATTGTTTTTTTATATGTACCCATTGATTCTTGAAGAATATGCCTCATGAGCTTTGTTCCAACTGTCGTACCCCATCAGAACCCAAAATATAAGCGTGTTTTACTTTTGTTTGTAAACACACTATATAGCCTCAAAACATGGTTAAAACTATAATTTTGATATCATAGGTGGTAAATCCTTGCATCCATAGCTCAGTCTATGAATTTGAGTGATTACAATTCCAGCCCCATCCCTCAGCTTTTTACCGAACCAGGGGTGGGGAGGCTGCTTTGTTTCAGCTGCTGATCGCCGCTTTAACAGAATGTTGTAGTGTGACAGCCAGGAGAGGACTGGAGGTGCATCATTTGTTTAAAGAAAACATATGGACATAACTCAGGACTCTTATTGGGCAAGTCAGTCATTCAGTGGTCATGCTAATCAAAGGCTAAGATTTAGTGAATGAGTCAACTACTACAAGTAGCCAAATTAAAACCAGTCCTTTAGAAGATGGGAGAAATGAGAAAGCTTTATCGTGGAGACAGAGAGAAGTGTTGGAAATAGCAGACAAATACAGTAATTACTAGGAAAAATTGAGTTTACTCTTGTAGCCTATATGCAATTTATTTATCAAGGCCTAATTCTTCACAATTGAGTGCTCTGATTAAAATTAACAGGAATGAGTTTAATGCCTTTTAAAATCCTTGTCAGCCAGTTGAGGGCCAACTGGCTCATGTAATGGTTGTGAGGGAGGAGAAGAGGTCTTCACCAGATCTGTCCATTGCCTCATCTCTTCCCAGGTCCCATGCCGATGTTGCCGTGGTTTCACTGACAGCTGAGATCCTGACAGGGATTGGCTTCTAGAATGTCGATTCATCAGCAACAGGGGATTGGATTCTAGAAGGACCATGATTCACTTCAGTAATCAGCAACATCAACCGTGGCCCTATTATGGTGCCTTGTTTTGAAATTATATAGCTTTTATTTCTAATAAAACCATTTAATCCCTTGTGGTTTTGCTTTCCATTCTAATATTTCACTGTACAATAGTTTAGATTAACAGGCCATCGTACATTGTCTAATTTTAGAGTATAAACAAAAAGGACACATTTGCACCCATGTAGCCTTACGAACTGTTACCTGAGAACTAGTCGGTTCCATAAACCACCAAGACAGCACTGAAATTAAAGTCCATTTTTATTGTTTAGCCATGTCATGACCATGTCTCCAATAAGCACAGCAGGCTACAATAATTAGGGATTATTTTCACCTCCTTGAACAGCTATCAACTAAAAGACAGATAAAATAATAAAATAAAAATAATCCACTGCCCCCTCCCCCACAGACCCTTTGGAACAGTTGTGACACTACAAACAGTGCACAATTAAAGCAAGAAAATATTTGGACCATTTCCAATTCTTGGTTTTATACAAAAGCTACACAATGTTACACTTGATCCAAATACAATTCAACTGATTAGTGTTCTACACCATAACTTGATCATTTTAATTGGAGCATTACCACTATAACTTAACACTACGAGAGAGACTTAAAATGGATACAAATTACTGCAAAAAAAGAGATGAGTATAATAACGCAAGCTATATCAGTACCGTTACAGAGACTGAAGAAGAATCATACAAAATAAAATGTAAAAAAATACAGACGAGGGTTTTAAATTCCATCTTTAGATCCACTCTTGAGCGTCATTTTCTTCGAGTAACCCACTCCAGGAATTCCATTAACGCAGTTTTAACTCCCACAAAAGACCAGAACAAAGTTTTACTTCCACTCCACGTGTTCCCACAGGAAACTCAGCTTTTAGTAATGTGTCAGGCACTTTCTGAGATACTAGCCCACTTTCAAAAACCTCCCAGCAACTTCTCCAGCCAAATCACAATGCAGGTTCATTCAGATCAGACGATACACCTGGAGAGGCGGAGAGAGGCACCAGCATTACTATGGGACCACACAGCATGAGGAAAAGCTAGAAGATCAGAGCTAGAAACTTCACACCCACATTAGTAGAAGTCCAAGCATGCACCAGCCTGTAATCCCCAAACACACAGCCGTGGTGCCTAGTCTTAACAGAGCTCCTTACCTAAAAAGTAGTCTATTTACAGGTCAGTATCAAACCAAGCCAACTGATTGCTGTCGCCTGGGGGCAGCCCATCGATCAGGTCTTGGGCGTGGCCCAGGTCAGGGCAGCCCGTCGACTGGGTATTCGGGGCCGGGGTGGTGGGCGCCCATGTCATGGTCCATCATGGAGTCCATGCCCATGGAGTCCTGCCCATATCCCCCAGAGTGGAAGGAGCGGTAGCTAGGGTCTGCCAATGGAAGTGATGGGGGGGAAGGGGAAGCATACACACTTGTTAGAGAGCAGATTAACACAAGCACCACACAGTAGTAGGATCAAAACAACCAATCATAATCCTCAGCATCTCAGTCATCACAGTTCCAATCCAGACAAAGCCACTAATTATTCATGGTTTCCAATCCAAACTACTTGGTCTGCAATCTAAAGCAGACTGCTGTGCTGCTGACCAGTTGCAAGCTTTAGCTAACTAGCACACTGGGCCTGGCAGGGAGTTAGTGTTGGGGTGGACTGGGCCTGGCAGGGAGTTAGTGTTGGGGTGGACTGGGACTGGAGGAGCCCAGGTGCAGGCTGAGAGCTGCAGACCAGGACAGTACTAGGCATCATGAGACAGTGCTTACCTTCCTGACGGTAGCCCAGGGCATCTCCCTGAGCTCCGATGTCCAGGCCCAGATCTCCAGTCTAGAGAGAGAAGGAAACAGAACACAAGATCAGGAACGAGGGTCACATCAGTGGACAGTAATCACTAAGGTGTTCTGCCCAGAAGTTGTGTCATGGGACAAACACTTCCTTAGTAAATACAGGGCTCTTGGCTCCAGATCCAGACACATTTTTAATACTTTAAAGTTATTTTAAAGCATGACACTTCAAGTAATTTGCCATGGCTCCCCAGCGTCTCCCAGGCTGCTTCCCTTCATAGTGCATGACTTTTGACCACAGACCTATGGGCCGTGGTGAAAAGTAGTGAACTATATAGGGAATCGGGCACCATTTGAGACACACCCCAGTGTGTGATGGCAGCAGACAGAAGTGATTAAACAGCCGCAGTACTATGTACCTCATTCCAGGTCATAGGCTCCGTCCTGAACAGGGAGCTGGTGAGCTCCACAGACAGGCGCTTCTTATAGTCCTGGGGCTTGTCTTCAGACATACGGAACAGAACAGCAGCAGCATAGGTAGCTGAGGAGAGAACAGAGAAACATGGTTGAGTGGTCTCCCTTAACACAACCATCCATAGAAAGTCATGCACCAACGGCTAGCTAGACAGATCCTTCTGGACAGAGGCCTAAACCATAGATGTTCTAGAATTCACTTGATGTCATAGACCTGCATTGCTCTAGAATGGCAGCCATTTCTATGTATTTCTGAGGGCTAAATCATCCATAAGATAGCTCTGAGGAGCCAACGAATGAGAGATGGTTGTGGACCGAGGCCTGTTAACTCACCCACGCCCTCGTTCCTGGAGTGGAGCAGCTCTGTGAGGGGGGCGGTGGCGCCCTCAGCCTCGATGGCCTCCGCTGCCTCCTTGTCCTGGGCCAACTCACACAGAACTCCTGCAGCCACACGCTGAATGTTCTCAATGGGAGAGTACAACAGCTGCGCAACAAGAGGGGAGGAAGTCACGAGTCGCAAAGATCAGATTATTATTTTTTTTTACACAAATTCTGTAGTTAAGTTGGTTAGTGGTCTTACCTGGACAAAGAGTGGAATGGTGTTGAGTCCTCTGATGACGATTCTGTTGTGAACATCTCTAGCCAGGATGTGCAGAGCTCCAGTACAGCCCTCCACGATCTCCTCCATACGAACTCCCTCCTGTGGTGCAGGACAACCGTTAGTTCAGAGACACTACAGAGCGCATTGGAGTAAACCTCTGTGTGCTTATTGGGAGACAGGTGGAGTTGCACTGTGTAGAGGTGTGCGTCAAATCATTACCACTTTGTGGCATTTCATTTTCAGTGCGTCTTACCACAAACTGCTGCTGGGTGCCTCCCATGGAGGTGCGTCTCTGAGTGTCCTGGTGGGCTCTGACCAGCAGCTGCACCAGTCTGGGGATGGCTCCCTGCTCACGCAGAGGGGCGTGGTTGGCTGGACACAGAGCCAGGTTACGGATCAGACCCACTGTGGCCTGGAAGGAAAGCGAGGAGGAGATCACATTAACACCACTTCATTTAAATACACAAGTAGACATGCTGTTATTTCCAAGTTGGGGACTCAGTCTACAGACAAAAATGTTATTCTGCTATCTTACACTGATGTGGAAACTGAAAACGTTGATTAAATTGGCCACATCTCCATTTTCATAAATAATTACCTTGATGAGAGGCCAGTGGGAGGGGGGGTGCAGCAGCTTGACCACCACAGGCAGGCCGTAGTGCAGCCGCACGGCATTCTGGGCCATCTCGGCGTCCTGGTGGCGGCTGGTGAGGTGGCGCAGGGCGCAGATGGCCGGCTCGGTGATGTCCTCGCGGTCTCCGGCACGCAGCACGGTACGGACCAGTGCCTCGATTCCGCCAACCTGGCACACCATCATCTTGTTCTTGTAGTTGTTGCAGGTGAGGTTGGACAGGATGCCGGCGGCACACGTCACCACGTTGATGTCATCAGAGCCCAGGAGCTGGACCAGGGTCCCCAGCAGACCTTCCATACCCTCCTGTTAGAGCAAAGGAACACAGAGGAATGTCACAACCAGACCAACACACACCCAGCTAACCACCAGACAGCCTTCCACTGCGTGCTCCTTTTCAGAGAGATGCTTACACTAATTCCTCTTCTTCAGGTGGGTTTAACACTTTACTTTAATGAGCCTTTAGTAAGTCAGCTGAACATAAGGGTAAGATGAGCTGGGCTGTAGATGAAGTTGGCTCTGACTAGCCATAGCGCCAACACAGAAAGGCAGGAATGACTACTTTTACCTGCATCACATCTACTTCAGCTAAGGTCGTCTTCTCCATGGAAAAAGGCAGGGAGACAGAAAGAGAGCTCTTATGTAGGAAGAATTCAGGAAGGAAAGGTGTAGGAAAGAGGAACAGAGGTGTGCTAGTGGGGACGGGTCCTCACCTGTTTGGTGGCAGCGTCTGAAAGGTTCCTGAGGGTCCACAGGCAGTTCTGGACCAGTCTCTGACTGGGGTCTGTGAGGTGAAGCCCAAGGGCCTGCATACCACCTGGAGAAACACACATTAGCCTTTAGCCCAGCTCGCTGGGAGTATCAATGGAGAGTTAACTGAACTAACGTGAGCAAGATAAAATGTACTGAGGCAGAATCAATAAAAAAAGGTCAATAAGAGGAAGTACATACCAGCCTCTACGATGGCAGGCTTGTTGCTGGAGCAGACAGAGAGCACTTTGAGAACTCTACTGGTAGTCCACAACAGCTTCTCGTATGTGTAGGTCCTCATGATGTTGACCAGGGCCTGAGGCCCGCCACTGGCCAGGATGATAAGCTGGAGGGACAGAGGGTAGCATCAAAGATGCTTAAAATACACCAAGATGGATCACAATCAACGCCTAAATTAGGGGACGGAGCGAAGCATCAAATATGTATAATACCCAAGAGATCAGTAAATGAAAAGAATTAAAATCAGGAAGTTCCTTACCTTGCTTTCTTGGTTGCCGTAGGCAAGGATCTGAAGACAATCGGTTGTGATGGCGAGGAATTTGACATTTGTCTTGTTGAGCAAGGCCACCATTTTCTGCAGGCCTCCGGCCAGGCGCACGGCCATCTTGGCGCCCTCCTGGTGGAGCAGCAGGTTGTGTAGGGTGGTGATGGCGTAGAACAGCACCGAGTCCACTGGGGACCTGAGGAGACAGAGTTTTAAAGACAACACCAAACTACATGGCAGCAGGGACTAGCAAAAACATGTCACTGTCTTAGAAGTACTTTAGGTTGGAAGGTACCAAAGGTTAACTGAAAACACAGGGAGGTAGCTGTAGTGACACCAATTCAGAGAAACAATCTAAAGAAAATCAGGGGTGTTTGAGGGGGAACTGTTAGAGCAGAGTTTCCCCCAACTCAGTCCTCGTGACCCCAAATCCATCTTAAAAACACAACTTCCTTAGAAACACTCAAGACAGATTAGGTTACAGTCCAAGGGATGACCGACATACCCGAGCATTTTGACGAGGGCGGGGATGCCCCCTGACTTGAAGATGGCCAGCAGACCCTCTCTGTGGTGGGACAGGTTGTGCAGGGTGCCGGCGGTGCAGCGGGCCGTTTCCACATCGTTGGTGTTCTGCATGGTGCGCACGATTGCCGACACCATCTGGGGGGAGCGCATGATGGCGTGGCGGCTAGCCTCCTTCTTGGACAGCTGGTGCACCATCACTGCAGCCTTGTTCACCACCACCTGGAGGAATGGAAGAGGTCAGGCCAGAACTCTATACAAGACCACAACACAGAACTCTATGGAGAGACTAGAACATAGAACTGAACACCATTAGGTTAGGTGCATTTCCTAGTTGGTTGGGGACCAAAGCGGGCCGGTTGTGGTTAGCTATATGCACCTGGTCCTCATCGTTGAGTAGTTTGGTCAGCTCGGGGATGGCGCGCGTGGCCAGCTCGGCGTCATCCTGGTAATTGATGAGGTTCACCACGGCGTGCTTCAGCATCTGAGAGGGCTCAGCCAGCCGCTGCACATTGGTGGGGTGGGCCCCATCGAACTGGGTGGAGGGGAGCTGCATGCCCTCGTCCAGGGTCTCTGGGAACATGGCCGCACGCACCCTCTGGGCTCTGGTCATGGCATACTGCCCGTCAATGTCTGGAGAAAGAAAGAGGGGTTAGGTCAGAGCCACTTCTCTAAAATGGTGGCCAGATTCCTCTAAAGGAGTCTGAGCCAAAAGCTGATGTTTGTCAGTAGAATGAAGCACTAACTACTATCTATTGACTTCATACCATGTGACATGTTCAAAATCCCAATCAAGCATTCCCATGGTATTGTAGTGTCATTTCATACCTGCCACTTGGTCTTGTGTGAAGGACTGAGAGAAGCCCTGCTCCCACTCGTACAGCACCTGGTTGTCCACATCCTCCTCCTCTGGGTTGCCCTTCCCACTCAGGGAGGGGGCGGTGGTGGTTGCCCCAGAGTGGATACCAGAGTCCAGGTACGACTGCTGCTGCCAGTGGCTCACTGCAGCCTTCCGATCAGGCTCCATTGTCATGTCCAGCTCCATCAGATCAGCTAGACGTTAGAAAATAAACACCAGCATTAGGCTACCTGGAGGCAGTTCAACCAAAGAGGAAAACCATCTGGAATTAAAATCAGGGGAAGCGATGTTTAAGTTATTCTAAAAGGAAGGAGTCTAAAAACAGAATACTTACACTGGGAAGCCATGTTACTTTCAAAAACCACAGCCTGCACAGCTTCCAGATCTGAAAGTAACAGAACAGCAGAGTTCATTCATACAGTCATTTCCACCTCGAGATCATGCCAAAAACAAATACAGCACAAAGCAACCTTTTCATTGGACCAGCTAAATTCCAGCGTAGGGAAAAAAACAGAATCAGGGCTGCATTACCTAGACATCAAATGTACCTGCTAACGTGGAGGATACATGTATGAAGCGCTAACTTGGCGGCAAAACTAATGGAGGCCAAATAAAAAAAACGTAGTGGGGAATAGGAGAGGAATTGAATGGGGGGGCTTCAAAGGGACCGCAACAAAAAAATATGGCAGATTGGTAGCACACATCCCCTATCATGATCCTCAAAAACAAAAATATGGCAAGTACAGTCCCATGGAGTAATAAATAAGAATTCCAAAGAGACTGTTCTGCTATAGACTAGGCCTATATTCTGGGTTCTAGAGGAGCAAATCAAATCAAGCTTTATTTATACAGCACATTGCAGACATGGAATGCAACGCAATGTACTTTTACAGGGGGGAAATAAAAATATGTTTCAGCCCCCCTCAGGTTCAGCCCCACTGCCAGGTAGACAGGGAGGGGACAGGAGAGGCTGACATTGCGTATGGGAGGGCTGGTAACTGCCATCTGGCTCATTCGCCAGGCCATCATAACAAAGACTTCATATTGTTATAATAATAATAATAATAATAATAATAATAATAATAAAGCCATTTAGCAGACGCTTTTATCCAAAGCGACTTACAGTCATGCGTGCATAATTTTTTTTGTGTATGGGTGGTCCCGGGGATCGAACCCACTACCTTTGGCGTTACAAGCGCCGTGCTCTACCAGCTGAGCTACAGAGGACCACCCAATGATGTCTTATAAACGTGACTTAGATTTTCTGCTGAGAGAATCATGTTTTTAGGATAGCTAGCCATTACATTTTACACACCATGGACAAACCCAGTCACTGGATTAGTGGTAAAAAAAAATTGTTAAGAGGATTTTGATAATAGCTCCATTATAAATGACTGACGCAAAAAATAGCCTATCGCTTCACAACAAATCTATGGACCCCTCAACCATTCAATCCAACATGATCCCTCAGACAGGTCGTATGCAAAACCAGGGCCGTGACAATACCCGTATCATGATACTCGTTAGTATCGTGGCAAGGAAACAAAAAACAAAGCAGATTCAACATTTAGGAAAACAGCCCTAATGTCATTTGTTTCCCCAAGCTATAGCAAACAATATTTTACATACAATGGGTTTTTAAAGGACCGAAGACTTGTCTGCTTCGTGTTATTTGCCATGGGATTCTTGTTGTTGCAATACTGGTATCCTCCCAGCCCTACAAAACACCCTGCTACAGCATTAGCAGGACACAAGGCAGAGATACAATCACAACTTAGTGTGTTTTCGTTTATACAAGTGTAATGAATTCCATTCAAATGATTGAGTCATTTTACCCCCAGTATCACCAGACCCTCTGGTGGGGAAGTTAAAATCAACATGCAGAGCAGTAGCTACACTGACTGGGCTCCTCTTGTATAGAACAGAAGGAGTTTCTGGAGTCAAATGGGTAGACAGACAGGCAGAGGTTGCTCTGCTCATTACCCCATTTGGGTCATTATCAGAACTCAGCAGACAATGAGAGTCAGGTTAATAAACTGCAGCACACCAATCAACATCCAAAACACTCCCTGGCAATTCAATCTGATTTATTCCATTTAAACTGTAAAGAGCAGTATGAATCACAGAGAGTAAGAGGCTGCACTTTTAAAAAGGGGCGATGAGACACTTGTCCTCGTCATCATACCTATAATGTTTAATAGTCACTCTTGCACAGCTTCTATGGAGATTATTCAGCACATCCGCTTGGAATGCATGCAGTAAAAGTCTAGTAGGCAAAATGGCAGACAACATGTGGTGGAGGGAGTCTGACTCAAAACACTACTATATTGGCCTGGGATAGACACACTGGGACTTAAAGCTCCATTTAAAAGGACATGGATTCCTAGAGCACCAGAAGATAGCAATTGAGAAATTCAGCCGAGGACAGTTAAATATAACATATGAACATGGCTGTTCAACAAGACTACCAGTCAGAGAAAGCTTGGTAGCTGCTGTATTGTGAGTTGAATTTCAGACCATTTCTCCCCCTCAGACAGAGCAATGTGCATGGTCAGCAGTCACAGCTCTACTAGCTCCTGGTACACCGTTTGGCCAACTGTGCATACTACCATGGCCAAATTGTCTAGAGCCTTTAGCCATTCAATTACAGCTAAGGTTTTAACTAAACACCCACCAATAAAGAGGATTTTAATTCAAATACATGACAATGTCAAACAAGACCCATCCTGTCTCAGAAAACTAGTATTGTTTACTGTATTAGGCTACTACTCGTCATTTACTAGTAGAATCCAAGCAAATGGACTGGAACAGTTGCTACGAATTTAACAGTTTCTCTGAATTTGACTTGAGACAACAACATTACTTGGTTTCTTAACTGCGCTAGACATGTAACCACTCATGGATCATGCCCTTGTGGTCTGAGCTACTATCCTCAAGTGCAAACAAAATGAGGTTGTTGTGTCGATAAATACCAGCATCAGTCTTCTGTAAAAGTTGGAGAAAAGTACGGCATCAAATTCTAAAACCTCAATTTCATTCTAAAAAACGGGACTCTCAAAAACAACGAATTCACAGAGGTATGTGGCATACCTTGCTCAAGACCGAAGTTTCGATAGCCGACGCCTGTTCATCAAAAAGAGGTTACTGTGATTTAGCAAGCCACCAAACCTCCAGGAAAGTATGCTATTGTTAGTGGGTAGATGAATCACGGAAAATATCCGTGGCAACGTTATTGTATTGTCACTATTTTGTAGCAAACATACGTTACGTCGAAACCAAAGACAGTATGCACGTTTTCCAAGTCGCAAATCACCTCCAAGGTGAAATTATCATTTGCAGGCGTGGTGAGAGGATCCCGATTTAAAAAAAAAAAAACGTAGTTGGGTTCTTTGTGGGGTATTTTCCGGAGTAGTTCCGCTGTGTTTCCCTAGATATCCGTGCCAAGAGCAGAAAAATATTCCACCAGCGAGCTAGCTCCCCACCCCCACATACAACCAAGTCCACTTCAGACTGCCCGAATTTCCGATTAGCAACATACTCAAATTTCAGTCAAGCTCCTCCTCAACATCCTCTCAAATCACAACGGCGAAGGAATTTGTCAGTCTTTGTTGAAATTGACGACCAGTAAAAAATAAAAAGTTTACCCAGTTCCTAAAACAAAACTTAATTTATTGATAGCAAAGTCACTGATAGCAAAGTCACGTTTGACGAAATGAAACAAAATATTTGCTGACTTTGCTAATGTTAGCTAACAAATCCTCTTAAAGTTACAATGGGCACCTCCCATTGAATTTACCTTACTTTATTTACAGTCAAATCAGTTGAAGTTACTGTTGGACGTGGGATAGTGTTTGCGCTATTACCATCCATTTCGACATAACTAGCTACACTAGCAATGGAACCATTTATCTATCTAGCCAGCCAACAAACATTTTCCAATCAAGCAGCTAACGTTTTCTCCCTCATTAATCTTAAATAGTTATTTTGCTAACGTAACTTACATTTCTGCCAGTTAATAAAGTCACAGGGCAAAACGTTCTCCAGCCAGCTGTATCAATAGTTATTAACTAGCCAGTTGTTTCTCACAACCACTAACATGAGTCAGAGCGCTGGAATGTTGACCTAGCTAGCTAGCCTCGTTTACGGCAACTAGCAAAGGCTAGCTAGCGGACTAGCGGGGAGTGTCCGGGCCATGGCGCAGACTGCTATCCACATAGTTAGCTGGCTAAAAGGTTAGAAAGGAATACAATTAGTTTCTGCTAAAATCATATTTCCTGTGAATTCCAATCAATTCTGTACGACTAGTTGTCGTGATCGTGATGCACTGATAGATAGGCGGTGGCAAGCAATGTGAATTTGGACTGCGGAAAACATTTGTCTACAAACTAGCTAACTAAGCTAGCTAACCACCAAATACAACGCAAAACATTATGTTAAATCCAAATAAATATTAAAAACAGATTATTTAACGAAGATGCCTACCCTTGTCAAAAGCCACAAATCCGTCTCCTTGCGTTTAGGTGGATAAAACCAACGCCTCGTGGGGAAAAAAAAAATACGTTAAAAAACAAATCACCAGCGAATCCTTCGACTACCCCCTCAGCAGTCAAGGAACAACTTGGCTACTGCTGTTGAATCACTGGGTTTAAGATGGCGTCGCACTGTAATGGACCGAATTACAATTCTTGTGGCAACTATATCCTGCCGCATGTACGAATAAAATAGATACCATTTCATGGTCTTTATCAAATTATCAAAGTGATGTCCATTTTATATATATGTATATTAGAAACAGTCTTAAAACAACTTCATACAACTACAATGTATTGTATTTCATAAAAAGAAAGAACAAATCGACATTAGATCCCGATCATAAAATCGGCGTATGAATCCAGATGGTATGAAGTTCCGGCAGTGTACCTTCTCCATAAATTAGGATGAAGACCAGGAATGCATCTATGGATTGGACTGCAGTTCTTCAATGGGCATCACATCATTCTCAAAAAATTGCAGTACTTCTGCAAGGAGTCTTGAAACGGACAGCTTATTGTTTCAACTGAATTTACTAAAGAGACATTCACAATGGTATACAAAAAACTTTCTCAGAGGCATTTAGTTATACTGCATATCTGAAAATAGCTTCTCTCTAGCCTAGGCTATGGTACTGCACTGCTCAGAATATATTGAGGGTATTTGGAATGTAGTGTGTAGAAACTGTTACTTTTTCAAAACGATTCACCTGATTCCATATAATGTTGCAACAGTCATGATCATGATGGTTTTATGATCACCTTGATTTCCTTTTTATATTTTTCCACAACATTGTGTCATGTTTATCTAGTACTGAATACTTTATCATACAGATTTAGTATACCTGAATATCCCTTTGTGAATAACATCCTAGAAGATTAATATTCCACACAAGGAAGCTGCAATCAGAAATGAATATGGCAGTGCAATATATACTGAACAAAAATATAAACACAACAATTTCAAAGATTTTACTGAGTTACAGTTCATAGAAGGAAATCAGTCCATTGAAATAAATTCATTAGGCCCTAATCTATGGATTTCACATGACTGGGCAGGGGCGCAGCCATGTGTGGGCCTGGGAGGGCATAGGCCCATCCACTTGGGAGCCAGGTCCACCCACTGGGGAGCCAGGCCCAGCCAATCAGAATGAGTTTTCCCCACAAAAGGGCTTTATTTCAGACATAAATACTTCTTGATATGCCACACCTGTCAGGTGGATGGATTATCTTGGCAAAAGAGAAATGCTCATTAACAGGGATGTAAACAAATTTGTGCACAACATTTGAGAGAAAAAGCTTTTTGTGCATATGGACAATTTCTGGGATCTTTTATTTCAGCTCATGAAAAATGGAACCAACACTTTACATATTGTATTTATATTTTTGTTCAGTATTGATAAGAGATGCCTAATACTGTATGTATGTCACAGTCAACATGGGTTTGTTTTACGGTTTAATCATTGATGTATTACACGGTTGGGGTCAATTCCATTTCAATGCAATCAATTCTAATATAGTCTAATATATATATATATATATTTAAATTAGACTCATATCTGAAATGATTTTCAAAAATGGACAATAAAATTAATTAATTACCTTCACACAAGGAATTAGTTGTTAATTGCATGAGAATCGAAAATGATGTACACTAACAACTATACTCTCTGCAAAATATGGCCATCAAGGCGATACTGAAGACTTTCTTACCAAAACTTCAATGGTCAGGAGGACTCCTGTCCAAAAATAAAGCAGGGTCTCAGAGTTGACTGGCAGCAGAGGTTTGCCAGTTGTGACCTCAAATGCTGGGCCTTTGTCACTACTTTAATGAGTGTAGTACTCACCTGACCAAAGAACCTCTCTCTTATAGATAACCTTCAGGTGACATCATCATGTGGACACAGAGATTCGTTTCACATCTTTATTTACAATATTGTTTTTAAGGGAATTGTATTGGCTGGAATATATAATGAACACTAGGCCTAGATGTAACATGCCAATGATGTTTCATACAAAAATATTACTAGAATTACATCAATAATAAATTACATTAGTTCCCAAAAAATTTCTGTAGATTTGTTTTGACCTCAATACATTCTGATGAACAGTCAGGGTGTAAACATTAAGAAATGATATTCAGCATCCAAGTCAATGTGCAATGTCTGAATGGATAACAATACATTATTGTAAATGTAGACTCCAAGGCAAAACAATTATATTGAAGGCCCAATGCAGCCGTTTTTATATCAATATCAAATAATTTATGGGTAATAATTAAGTACCTTATTGTATTAGATTTCCATTCAAATGGACCAAAACAGCTTTTTAGCAAAAAACTATTTCTCAAGCAAGAAATTTGCTAGGACTTTATGGGAGTGGTCTGAGTGGGGAGGGGAAAACTGAAAACGAGCTGTTATTGGCAGAGAGGTTTGGAACTCTCTTTGTTATTGGTCTATTAAACAATTTACCGCATGGTTACTTCACTGGGCCTTAAAGAAAATAATTACATTTAATATAGAAATAAAACAATTCAAAATAACTGTTACTGTGAAACCCACTGATAAATCAGAAATAGACAAAGTGCATATATGTAAATTACTATGATAATAAGTACATAACACATAGATTTTCAGATCCACAATAGGAATCTACAGAAATGTACATATTTCTGAAAACAGTAGCTCTTCGGAAAAAAAAAGGTGCATACTATGATTATTGATCAAATTATCCAATGACAAAAGAGGCATTGTCAAGCCCTCAACTGGTTCTATGTGGTTTGTGGGCGTTACATTGACAAAACACTCATAATGGAGGATGGAATTTCAGAGAAATACCACTGACACCAGTCTGATTTGAATTGGTTGTGTTGAAATCTAAGGCGATGATATAGGAAAATGTAATGTGTGTAAGAAAAAATATACAGTAACATAATAATACTTGTTGGGCAAGATTCAATCATGACCGTATTGCATATTGTGAGAAATGTGCACTATGGGAAAAAATATAACTATTGTTCCTGCACCCTTTATTTTAGTTTAAATTATCTATATTTTGTATTACCAGATTATCAAGACTACTTGAAATGTGATTTTCAATGCTACATGAATACTGAGATATTTCATTTGAATTCCTTCCCATAATAGTACATTGGTATAAATCACACACACACACACACACACACACACACACACACACACACACACACACACACACACACACACACACACACACACACACACACACACACACACACGCAGTGCAGATTCATCAGGCCTTTTGCGTGGATGGGAATCACTACGCCTAATTTTAAGCACACATTCTCCCCGCTGAAGGAAAGAGTCAATGCACCAATAATAAACATAGAGACAAGGATTACATATGCAAAGCCTGTTCCCTCCCAATGGGTTCACGTGTACTGGGGAAGTCACAGGTCTCAGTCACTGCCAGGAGGGTTTACGAAAGGCTGGGGTTACTCATCGTGCTCTATTGTGATTGGTTACATAAGGTTGTGTGTGTGTGTGTGTGTCTGTGAGAAAGAGCAAGAGAGAGAGAGAGAAACAGTACCCGGATGGAAGAGAAAGCATTTGCTTCCTTGGGAAGCTGCTGGAATTGATGCTGTATGCTGAGGGGAGGGTCTCCTTTCTTCCCCTGTGAAAGGAGGGGGCACTCTAAACCCACTTGTGTGCTCATAGGATTGTGTCCCCTGACCTCTACTCAGCCAAAGGTCCTGATCCTACATCCTGGCAGAGACAATAGTAATAGGTGCAAGGCAAGGTGAGCCACCAGGGCCCCTGGGTTCCTCTGTAACATGTCGACACGAGGGGGACACAATCCATTTCTACCTGTCCTTACTCCTAATAATGTTGAAATAAGAGTTCACGTTCAACAAATACAGCATATATCATTATAATCCACCAGGGCCCTGGGTTCCTCTGTTCACAGTGGCAATAGACAGACATAGGGAGGGCACTGGCATACTACTAGACACTTCTACCTGTCCTGTTACAGGGTTGAGATATAGATATATAGATATAGGGGGGTTTCATGTCCTAGTTGAGAACAATGGGTCAAGCCGTTCACACAACAAATACAGCTTATAACATTACAATCCATTAACGTCTTTGTTGTACTGCATTGCCGACCTACAATTACAATTCCATCCAAAAAATTGATTTAAAATAAATACTGCTAGCAATGGGTAGTTACTGTTTTTAATAGTATGAAGTTCCAACGTGATAAATAATTCAATGAATAAATGTTTAATAGAGTAGTAAGAATCGGTGGAAAGGTCATTGGAGCAACTTGACAGGAACCCCTCAGTGTCATCTACAAAAAAAGAGTGCTGAAGAAAGAGGGAACAAATAGCCTTTGACTTAACACACTGAATGACCAGTATAGCCCCCTACCCTCCAGGCAGGTATACACACTGAATGACCAGTATAGCCCCCTACCCTCCAGGCAGGTATACACACTGAATGACCAGTATAGCCCCCTACCCTCCAGGCAGGTATACACACTGAATGACCAGTATAGCCCCCTACCCTCCAGGCAGGTATACACACTGAATGACCAGTATAGCCCCCTACCCTCCAGGCAGGTATACACACTGAATGACCAGTATAGCCCCCTACCCTCCAGGCAGGTATACACACTGAATGACCAGTATAGCCCCCTACCCTCCAGGCAGGTATACAGCTCTCCCATATAAACCTAAGAGAGCAGCTTCTAATTTTGTGCCAATGTCAATAAATATATATATATAATATACATATAGCCTGTATTTGTATTTGTATTTATTAGGGATCCCCATATTATACATACAAAATGTATAATACCACCATACAACAATATTACAATGTACGTGTGTGTAGAGTGTGTGTCTGTACCTGTGTGTGATTACATATAACGCTTCCAATCCTTTACACTGAACATGTTTTGTGTTCTATGTTGTTATGTGTCTTCTATATAGCAATACGTCACCACACATGAAGTTCCCTCTCAGGAAATACAAGTTATTATGAATTTGAGTTTGAGTAATAAGATTTATATAGGGCCTTCAATGTCTTAGTGCAGTATGTCTTTAAGAAATATTGCAATATTTACACTACCTAATGGATGTGTACA